CCATATTCTATCGCGATATTTCATTTTCCTATCGTTGCCCAAAATTACGGTATTACCGTGAACGGTATGATATAGCCCAGCCCTAATTTTAATAAATACAAATAGAGTACAAATATAAAACGATGGTAAGAAAGCAGTAAATATTAGAGATTTTTGTTCAAGTAATTGTCAAAAGAATGTATTATTATTGTTTTTAGTACCTGGAGATTTGTTTTTTGTTTTTTAATTATTGTACACTTTATTGCATTTTGTCTAAATGTCTGTTCTTTTACTTAATCTGGCATTACTGTACTCTTATACATTTTATTTAATAGTAAAAGTCCATGTTACAGTATTGCTTGGTCTGTTTTTGCTATTCGAAAACAAACACATTTAATCACATTGAGGGGAGAAAAATGTGGGATTGTTTGATCAATAAAATCAGGTCATTTTAGCCCGTTGCTCGGTGGTTGCTAGAGAACACGGCTGATCTAGATGAGAACCTTCAGGGGTCGGAGATGTCCCCATTTATACATGAGTACATTTTCACCAGCATTTCCTTCCTTTTTGTAGATTTTCTACTTTACAAGTGGGAGAGGATTCCCAGGGTCAGACGAGTTCAAAGACCGCGTGCAGTTTATCGGGGACATCAACAAGAGGGACGTCTCGATACAGCTGAGCCCGACTTATTTCAGCGACAACGGCACGTTTTTCTGTGACGTGAAGAACCCCCCAGATGTGACGGGGACGCAGGCTCGAACCGAGCTCAGGGTCGTGCTGAAAGGTGAGTTTTTGTCAGATTTACATTGAAATTAATGCACCAGAGTTAAATGTTGGAAATGTAGAAAATTTATAAAAAGAAAAATCAGTGACAGGTTGAGTTAGTGTGGCTGGGAAAGATGTCTTTCTAAATGCTTCCTGCTACTCTGCGGCCTTGACCACACACTCGTCAGTTCTTTTCACCCACTCAGCAGGGCTCTGCTCACACACATGCTGATTGGATGGCGAGAAAACACAGTGTAGCACAGTGTGAGCCTCTGCGCACTATCGCTTGTGTTTCCAGGCAAAGAGGAGACTTTTCTGTTTCACTAGCCGATCAAACATGATGGACTGGATCGTGGCCATCTTAACCACAGTGTGTCGATTGCACCACCTGTAACAAGTTAAATCCTGGACTACTTAATGGTTTATCTAGGAATGCTGTTGCGACATGCTTTTGCAGTTCAAACCGGATTAATTGCAAACTTTCTTTGAATCTCCTGTTAGGCATCTGTAAACATTAGATCCATATCGCCCAAATTCAAAAGATAAATGCGAAAGACTGTCAAGAATAAAAGTGCTACTCTGCCTGCTGGCACTAAACAACACACAGTGAAGTATTTAGCTGCAAAAATGCTTTTCTTTTTTCTTATGGGCTCACATTTATTCCCTCGCATGCCCTAAAAAAAATTGCTTATTACACGTTAAAATTGAGCATTATGTTACAGTGTTGCGTGTTCATATTAGATGTGGGTAAAGTTATGATTAATTTAAAAAACAACAACGGAAAAACAACGTTTGGTGACAAGCTCGTTAGAGATTTATTGATGCCATCCTGTTACAGGAAAAGGACGTTACCTTTGGTCTTTTGTGAGAGCAGGTTTCCACTTGCATTGGCATTTTTGTGCAATGCAAAAAGGGGCACGCATACTGTTTTTATATGCTGTGTGAGTGAAAGACTAAACCCGTTCACTATGTCCCTCGACAGATATTTGTGTTATTCTCTCTCATATTCCTGATCAGACTGATTTGTAAAGTTGCAGTTGCCAATCAGGAATGAAAAATGCAATCATTTTCTGGCTTTCCCCCATAATTCACCAGGTTTTTGAGGCCCTTCACGCAACTTTAAATCACACCAGGAGTGTTTTAGCCTCTAGTCTGCATGGCGCCTTTTATGGACTGCTCAAATCACAGAATTTTGACCACAAGAACTGTGATTTCATCACCGAGTGGGTGTGACCACTCTGTTCCCTGCCAGAGAGATAGTATTTCGGTAACTGGGCAACAAACATTATCCATATATCCCCGAAAGCAGCAACAGGTCCTGTCTAATAAACTGCATGTACCTCAGTATATCTCTGAATCTTGTTCTGACTAGGTCTGTCAGCCAGGGTTCACATTGTAGTAATCTGAGGTGGAAAATTGCACTAAAATAAAAGCCTTTGATGTTGCATATACAATTTTCCATTATCTTTGCCACATCAATGGGCCAAATCCTGTAAAAGAAAAACAAAAGGAAAAGAGAGGAAACTATAAAAAGTTGTAGGAGAAGTAGATTAGACGCACATTTTTATGATTAAAATGATCACAACTGTCATAGCTGAGGTCATAAATGACTCCATTTGATCAGTTGAAGGTGAAATTCATTAAAGGTACAAAATAAACACATCGAAAAGCATCAGTTAATGAGAAAAATGCAAGCTATTCAAGCGCATACGGCAAATCGCTGCACAACCACTGTTTGTGTTCACTCAGCTGAAGGCCACATGTGCATGTGATGGCTTGTCTGCTTTACATGTGGCTGCACCTCTTCGCAGGTTGAGGTTTTTCTTTGTACCAAACATCTGTATCTAGGAAGCAATAAAGAGTTTAAATAGAGCATGTGTGTTGTACTCGACTATGTTTTAGCCGCAGT